TAGCCAATAAGGTTATTCAAGTTGGGTGGGGGAAAGCCAAGATGGATGATGGCTGATAGGTGCACCAGCCATCATCCATCTTGGCTTTCCCCCACCCAACTTGAATAACCTTATTTAGTCCACGAATCACGTCAGCTGGTTACAGGAGAATGCTGCGTGCGCAATGTCGTCTGCAAATCAACTAACAGAAATCTCAATTGTTTATACACGTAAATTATTAAAATTAACCAAGTTAAACTTGCATTTACAATTGGATTCCTTTGGAACATTAAAGAAAACACAGGTAAGATCATTTTAGCGTTTAAGTGATTGAATTTCAGATTGTCGCGTGAAATTTATTCAATTATTAAATAAAAAACATGAAGATAACGATCACTCCGAGTCAAGGCGAACAAAAGAAAACAAAACTATTTCTTTTTACGTTTCAGCAGCACCGCTGCCCTCTTCAGAAACAATAAAAAAGAAAATTTTCTTCAAGTAATTCATTTGAAGAGAGGAATAGACGTCTGAATTACTTGAAGAAAATTTTCTTTTTTATTGTTTCTGAAGAGGGCAGCGGTGCTGCTGAAACGTAAAAAGAAATAGTTTTGTTTTCTTTTGTTCGCCTTGACTCGGAGTGATCGTTATCTTCATGTTTTTTATTTAATATCGACCGAGTGATAAAATCATTTTATTTATTTATTCAATTATTATTTAGTCATTTTTTTAGTTGTAAAATAACAAAAAATTGTTCTGAAAGAGATTTATTCCTCTCATTTTCCTTGATATTTTAAAAAAAAGTAGACCTCAATCCGATTATTAGAATGGAAGATATAGCAGTTTAAAATTTTTTGTTATTATTGCAATTCTCGTAAACTAACAAATATTTTAAGCTGCAATTTACGTTAAAGATTAGTCTTACTATATATAACAAATTTCCAAAGTTTCATTGCAATCGGTTAACCTACTTCGAAAAAGTCAAAATCTCACTTGGAATCGCTCTCCTTCATTTTTATCAAATAAAAAAATAAGTATTTTCTTAATTTCGAAAAAAATGTTGCGGAAAAAAAATTTTTTATTGGAAAATTTCCCATGGAATGCCCCATAGAAAATAAAGTATATTTTAAGTGTATAAGTATAAGACGTATATATGTACACATATATATATGGGTTACAGGAGAAGAAGAAAGCGGATATATATATGTGACCAATACAAATTCAAGCATTGACGTTAGCACGCGTGGCCTTTTTTTACCTTCACAATTTTTCACATCTGCAAGGTGATATAAAAAGGGCAAGGGTCGAATCGGATTTATTCAAGTTTTAAAAAAAAGATTTTAGTCTCGCCTCAAGAATTTTTCATGCGCATGAAATACGCACTTATATATTTGATTTTCGAATTTAGACTTTGAAAATTTAGAAGAGCACGATTTTGACATTTATGTGATTTTTACAGAGAGAAACTTTTCATTCAACTTTCTTTCAACCAAACAAAAAAAAAATAAAAAAAATCCAATGCGTATTTTTTTACATTTCAGTTTCTTGTTATCGTGTTTTATTGCTTTTCTTTTATTATATTAAATCATTATACGCTGAGCGTTCAATCTAGAAAAAAAAAAATTCCATTGATCCAATTTTGTAAACAGAGTGTGAATGAATTGAATAAATTATATTTCTACTTTTGTAAAAATTTCACGAGTTAAAATAGAATCGCTCGCATCATCAGAGACGCTCTATTCGAAAAATAGAAAATCTTTGATTCAATAATTTTTTTTTTTTATATAAATGTGTGAAAAGAAATTCCGACAAAACAAACAAATGTATTTAAGTACATAAGTGTCGAGAAATATTTTGATGAAATATAGGCTTTAAAAATTATATTATATTTTTTTTTTATTTTTTAATGCATGAAAAGCATTTTATTGTTGGTGCCTTAGTATAAAATTTGTAAAATTTAATCTATATATTTTAGGTTATAAAAAATTTAAATTGATAGTTAATTTATTATAAACTTTCTTCATTTATTACTAATTATTATTATTAATTATTATTATTATTATTATTAATAATAATTAATTTATAGGTTTTTCATTTATCGATAAAAATGTTACAATAGATTCTTATTCAATCACACAATTCAGCACAAAATTCGTTTTGGAAAAATAATCATTTTTTAATGTTTCTGAATTAAAAAATTGCTTTTTGCAATAATAATAAGAATTTTGAATCAATTTGCAAAATTCAAAAAAAAAGAATAAATAAATTTTAAGAATTTCTAAAAAAAATTGATACAATTCAGCACGAAATTCGTTTTTGGAAATATAATCATTTTTTAATATTGAAAAATTTTTATTTCGAATAATAGTTCAAAGAATTTTAAACCAATTTGCAAAAATAAATATTTAAATAAATTTTAGAAATTCAAAAAAAAAAGAATTTTTCTGTTTCTCGCTTGTAAAAATAAATAAATTTTAAGAATTTCGAAAAAAATTGAAAAAAATTTAAGTAAGTCGTAGAGAATAAAAAATTGTTAATTTTAAAAATTCCAAAATGACAAAAATAATAATAATAATTAAATAATTGTTTGTTTTTTTCAATATTTCGACTTTTTTCTTTCAGCTTAGACAAAAATTGCAATTTTTATCCAATTTTTATAAACAATAGTTTATTTTTTTCAGTGAATCATTCTCTAAATTTGTTAACACTTTTTCAATTCTTAAAAAAAGAAAAAAAAATTAAAAAAAAAAGTTAAAAAGTTAAAAAATTCTAAATATAAATTTTATTTATTAAATAATTTTTTAACAATTTTCTTTTAAAAATTGATAAAAATTTACGATTCTAGAGAATCTTTCACTATATGAGTAAAATAAACCATTTTTTTAAATTGAATAAAAATTTCAATTTTTTTTTCTGTTCTGAAAGGAAAAAGTCAAAATATTTCAATTTTGAAGTTCCTGTTTGAAGAAATAAATAAATTTGAAGAATTTGTAAAAAAAAATGATATTAGTAAGACATAAAGGAGAATAATTGATAATTTTCAAAATTCTAATATAAACAAAAATTTTTAAAGAAAAATTAAAGAATTTTATATTTTTAAGGTAAAAATAGAGAATTTTATGTCCTGTTTGTAGAAATAAATAAATTTGAAGAATTTGTAAAAAAAAAATAAAATGAGAATTTTTAAACTCAAAAAAATTTAACGAATTAGTAAATTAATAAATAACTAAATTTTTAAGAATTTTCAGAAAAAAAGTGAGAATTTTTCTATTCGATTTTTTAAAATATATGAATAAATTTTAAGAACTTCGTAAAAAAAACTGCATAATTTTCGTACGATTTTGCTAAAAAAAATAAATAAAACAAGAAATAATTTTTAAAAAATATTAAAAAAATTTTAATTATTTAAAAATTTATTTAGAAAAAAAAAGAAGAATCTTTGTGAAAATTTCTATTTTTAATAAAATTCCCGAATTGACGAACAATTTCTGATCAATTATTCCCATTTACATGAAATTCTCTAATTTTTTTTTTCTACGATTACGATAATCCTTATTATGGAACTTATGGATCATAATATCGTAATAAATTTAGATTTCATTAATTAATAAATTTTTATTATAAGTAGGAATAAAATTTATATAAAATAAAAAGAGAAGTTAAATAGTTATTAAATAAAATTAATAAAATATAATTTAGTTTTAAAAAGGGTCTAATAAAAGAATTGAAAATTTTAGGTTGTTATTAAATGTAAAAAATGTAAAAAAAATGGAACTTTTTTTTTTTAAATTTACAAGAATTATATTAATAGAATAAAAATAAATCCTTATTTATAAGGGGGATAAGGGGGGTTGAGTTTTTTTATTTATTTGTTTAATAAATTAATTTAATTTTATAATTTTTTATTATACGAATTATATGATTATTCTTATTATGTTGAATAATGAAAACTTTGTTTTCCATATATGAATATAAAAATTTTAATTTGTATAGGCAAAAGAAAGGATTTTTAAAAATTAAGTAAATATTAAATTTAGATTTCATTAATTAATAAATTTTAATTAAAAAAATCGTAATATAATATATTCTACGATTATTACGATTTAATTTTATTACCAAAAATTTAGATATTTTATCCGCAATTACTAAAGAAAAGAAAAGAATGTTTTTTTTTAAATTTAAAAAAATCAAAATCAGTTTTTCCCACCTGCTGCAAACTAAAATAATATTTAATGTCAGAAGGGGTTAAAATTGCATGAGATGTTTTGAAATGATAATAATCCGTTTGCAAAAGAGAAACGTGCTTTACCCCACCATATCGGTGGTAAAACTCCTCCCTACTTTTCTCTCTTTTTTTTTTTTTTTGCTTCCCCTTCTGGTTACTTTTTTTTGAACCCTGCGAACACATGCTTCGTATGGGGTGGCCCCTTCTAAACTATATACCGGTACATTTGATCGATAGACCACGATCGTGCCTCTGTCAGATCTCGCACTTTAGTTGTTCCATATAGCTTAGAGTTTTCGAGTTAGAAGCGAGAGGTGTGTAAACCAATATGAGACGGCACGCGCGACTCACATATTTTGCTCCAGTGATCGTTATATCGTGAAAGCGTCTCGACGCTTGGCGTCTCGCGATATCAATCTTGACAGCGGTTTAATTTATGTACGACAATTAAAATCCAATAATTGACAATTGTAATCTGCAACAATAAAAAAAAAATTTGCATAACTGTTTTTTTTTCTTTTTTTTTCTTTTTGAAAATTATTTTTTTCTCGCAGAAATTTTTATTTTTATATAGAAAATATAAAAAATAGAAAAATTAATAAAATGAAATTATAATTTTTTAAAAATTTTAATACTAATAAAAATCTGATTTACAAATTGTGAAAAAACTCGGTAATTATTCGTACGATTTTGCGAATAAAATAAAAATATAATTTTTGAAATAGTAAAAGTTTTTCAAATCAAAAGTGCTTTATAAAAATTAGTGGCAGATTTTTGGATTTATAATTTTTTAATGTAAACAAAAAATATTGTGTGTGAAAATTTTTTTTTTTGTGGAACATGATTTTGTGTATGTTTTTAAAGTTTTGTTATTAATTTACTATTATAATTGTACAATGTTGAATTTTGTAAAAAAGTTGTTACTCAGCAGAAGAAGTAGATGACAGTGTTGGATTATTATTGTGAGTACACATTTTCCAAAAGATCTAATAATATTAATATAATTAATTAAAATTATCAATATAATTAATTTTCTTTTTTAATTTAAATTTAAATAACTACTAAAATCGAAATTTTTGTTAATTTCAAAAAATATTTATAAAAATGTTTTAAAGTTATTTTTAATGTTTTTTTAAAATATTATTTATTTATTTAAGGGCTTACAACTTAATAAAATAAAAAAAATTAGTATTTATTTTATTTTTATTATTATTTATTTATTTATAATTTTTGTATAATATTAGTTATGTTTTTTTTTTATTTTTGAGTCCTTTAATGAAATAATTTTGAAACTACTTTTTTTTAGTTCGACTTCTTTTTGGGTCCTCTTTAGTAATGTTTTTTATTTTAAAAAATTAGTTTTCTATTTTTCAAAGTACAGAATTATTAATTGAAATATTTGTAACAAATATTCTAATTTTTTCATTTTTAACATTTTAATTTAATTTTTTTTTCAATATAGTGATTTTTACTTATAAAATTTTCTTTTTTGTTTAGGAAAATTATGAAACTCCAAAATAATTAAATGGGCTTACCCTCTGTTACTTTTTTTTACAAATTTTTTGTTGTAATAATTTTTATTATAACTCTTATACTTACGAAAAATATAATTTTTTTTTAATTTTATAAATTTGGATATTTATTGATATTATTATATAATGTTACATGGCGATAATATCATAAACCTATAATAATTAATAAAAAGTAATTAAATTAACATTTGCAATTATATATGAGCAGAAAAATAAAATAATTACATTTATATATTTTAATTTCCAAAAATTTTGTTTACTATTAAAATTTTCTATTTTGTTTATTATTAAAACTTTTAGATTCAGTCTGATATAGTATATAATATATGTATATATAATGAAAGAAAGTTCTAATTTTATCATAAAAATTGTTAAGGTTTCATTGACCTAATCGTAGGTATATAAATCTATATAAGCTTGAATAGCATGAAACCTTGCTTAACTTTGAGCAACAGTTGAATATATATATATTCTTAAGTCTCAAACGTTCAAGGACGTTGTTAAAAAGCAAAATTTTTAATTATACTAAATTTAATAAAAATATAAAATTTATCAAAAAAAAAAAAATAGATATTAAGAAAAAAAAATTATTAAAACTACGAATTTTTCTCAAAAACAAATATTTACTTTTACAAATTATTTTTGATTAGGTACTTTTTATTATTTATTTAATTTTTATTATATGCCTGAAACTCGTCAAATAAACAAAATAATTTTTTTTTGTCTATTTTTTAAAAATTACCAAAAATAATAAAAAATAATAAAGTACAGAATTTTATAGAAATTACATAAATAACAGAGAAGACTTTATAGGGGCTCTTCAGGGAGTCTATCAAAATTACAATAAATTGTCAAATAAACAAATACAAAAAGTAATAAAAATAGGAAATTACAATAAAAAAATTAATAAATAATAAAACAATTAAAATAATAAATAATACAATAAAAATAAAAAAACAAATACAATAAAATAAAAATAAATAAAAACTAATACAACTATAACAATAAAAACAAATACCAAATAATGAAAATAATACAATAAATGATAAAATTAAAATAAACTACAATAATAAATTGAATTTTTAAATAATCTTACCAAAATTAAAACAATGTCAAATCATAGAGTCAATTGTAGTGTCAAATTTTAGTAAAAATAAAAACAAACGAAATAAATCCTAACTATATATTTTATATAACTATATATTATATAACTATATAACTATAATTTTGATAGACTCCATGAAGAGGAAATCATGTAGATTTCGAAACGTTGGAGTGAACTTTTATTAAACAACAATGGTCCGAATGTTATCGTTTTTATTCATACGAAACCTTCTAATTAATAAAACTCTCGGACATTAAACATTTTAATTATTAATTTAAGTAAATAAATTATTTAATTTAATTTTTTTGATACAGAATGCATTATTTTATAACAAAATTTGAAGTTAAAAAAGTTGTAAACACAACGTTTATATATGATAATTTGATAAAAAAAAAACTTTTTTTTTAAGGCGAAAAATTATAAAAAAAATTTTTATATAAAAAAATGTATTTCATAATTTGTTTGTCAATAAACATTTTAAAAAATAATTTTTTAAAATAATAATTCATAGAATTTTTCATTCAAAAAAATATTTCTTTAAAAATCGTTGATTATAAAATTTGTGAACTTCACCATCGTATTTTTCTATTTGAACTATAATCATGATATTATTTTTCTAATTATATAACAACAAAAATTTTTTTTTTTTTCTTCACGTCACTATAATTATATATAAAAAAAAAAAAAATTCCTGTTTTTTTTTAACAAGACCTACTTTTTCACGAGCCAAATTCCACATTCACAATTTCAGTTTGAAAATATACAGAAAAATAACATTTTTACACACTCTGTTGAGAATTATTCTTAAAATAATTTTGTGCGCGCGTTAAAATTAAATAGAAAAATTATTGGATTCTAAACGCATCATTTCATTGAACTTGAGAGGAAATTATATAAACGGAAGAGGAAGAGAAAAAAAAGAGGAGGAAGGGGGGGGGGGTGAATAAATCTTTTTATTTCCGTTTTAATTCCATATATATTTTTTATTTTGGTGGTGCGAATACGAAATCATTTTTTTTTTTTGCAGGAAACAAATGCAAAGTGCCAACGAAATTTCTTCCTGGAATTTTCGAGGGTGAATCTAAAACTTTGTCGAGGGTTGCGAGCATTATATATATATATATATATAGAAGGGTGTTACTCCGACTTTCACTTTACGAACTGTATAATCCCTATTCTATAATTAAAATGTTTATGACGTGTTAAAAATATGTACGAGCTGACAATTATATTTTCTGCTCTGATAAAATGACTAAATTTAGTTTTTTGCGCTCTCTAAAATTGCATAATTATTTGTAAAAATATTTTTTCAGTAAATTATGTACCAATAAAAAAAAAATAATAATAATAATAGTATAATAATCGTAATAAAAAATAATTTTAACAAATTTAATATCTAAAAAATAAAATGATTAACTAATTAACATAAAATTGAGAAGTAAAAGAAATTTTTTTTTTTACTAAACATGAAACGTATTTTAAAAAAATAAATATGTAAGATGTAATAATTTGCAATTAAAAAATTTTCAAATTTAATATAATCAAATCTCATTATTATTGAAATCATCACCTTGAGAATTTATGTTGAAAATTGGAAACAGAAGGGTGATTGATGAGTGCAGTAAACATCCCGCTCTTCGTTAAATCAACATCTATCGTTTCCCATCATCGTATCCTTGATGTTTAACATTTTTTTTTAACTCTGAAAATAAACGCAACATTTTGTTGCTTGATGATAGTTAATAATAAAGCAAAAAAAAAAAATTAAGGAAAAATATATTTTACCAAAAAAAAAATTGAAAGCAATTTTTTGTTTAATATGAACAATTTTAATTGAAAAAAAACATATTAAAGAAAAAAAAAAATGTTTTTTCTTAGTTCGAAAAAAAATTATATCCTTAATCATCGTAGAAAATTGAGCCAATAAATTTATGGAAAGGGTTCGAATTAGTACTTTAGTAATTTACAAATGTAGATTTTAGAAAGGGTGAATACAAAATTGCCCCAAAGAATAAAATCAAATATTAGTTCCTCACAGAGGCTAATTTTGAATTATAATTACAAAAATGGGACATCCATGTGAGATTTTCATTCAACATTTTTTTTTTTTTTTTGATTGAAACTTTTTTTTTGAAATCTTTATGAAAAATAAGAAAATACGAATTTTTCTGTTTCTTTTACTTGATAAAAATTGTGAAAATTATGATATTTTTAATTTTAATTTTTTAAAGCATTTTAAAAATTAAAATTAAGTCTAAAAAGTGACTTTTTTCAAAATCGAAATGATCGACTTTTGATTTTTGTCGTTAACAAAATACTATTTACAAGTTTTAAGATAGATGCAAAGATATATATATATGATGTATTCCACGCCAAAGTGTAAGTCCATCTGCAATTGCATCTGGGTGAAAATTTCCCAACTGGGCCACCTAAAACTGACTTTTCAAATTTAAAATATTTTTTTCATAATCTATTGCAGGATGCCGAATTAAAAACATTTCTGAAATGCGTTTTTAAAAAAATTAAGTTTTTAATTATTTATTAACAATTGAATATTTTGTTACCTTTCCACTAAATTTGCAATTAATCTGTTGCTTGTTAATGAAATTTAATAAAATTTGGTGAGCATATAGAAAAATTATGTCTCTTTTTTTTTATTTTATTATTTAACAATCATATAACTTTTCGTTACAACTGGTTTCTGAGAATTTTTTTAAAAAACGAATATTTATTGAATTATTTTTCAAGTAACAGAAGTAGTATCACTAGAGAAAATTTTACATTCCAATCTAAAATTTTCTCTAGTGATACCAATTTATACTAATACTAATTTGGCTAAATAAAAATTTGTTTTAGCGAAAATTTAATTAAATAATAATTTGGTTAAATAAAAATTAGGGTTTAATAAAAATTCTATTAAAAAAAATTCAGTTATATAAAAATTCGGTTAAATAAAATAAAATAAAAGTTAAATAAAATTAAATTTTATGAATTTGTTATTTCATCGATAAGATTTTAATTGGGACGCTCAATGTGTACTAAGTTTGAATTTTAGAAAATTAATTGGAGAATTTTCATGACTTTTAATTTTTGAATGCTCATAACTGCCTTAAAAATGTATCAATTTTAATAGTATTTTTTTCTAAAATATGTGTTTTTAAACGTACCTTTCAACAAAAAAATCGAAATTTTTTTTTTGAACGATATTACTATCAAATTTTTGAGTTTTAATGATAAAAAGTCATTTTTCTCATTTGACGTACTGATCGATTTTTTTCAAAATTTTTTCAAATAAACTACTTCTTTTTACAAAACTTTTAAGCCTAACCCGATAATGGACAAACAATTTTTACAATATTATCGGAATTTTTAAAAAATTATTCAATTTTGAATTTTTTAAAAATATTTTTGTTTTTTTTTTATAATACGTACTTGCATCCGTATTATACTAAATTTTCATCTATTCTGCAATTAAAAAATTAATTAGGCACGTAATAAGTTTTCATTTTAAAGATACACCATGGATGACGTTCTTCTAACCTATGACCCTAATTTTGGGGTAATGTCAGATTTTTTCTATGACTTTGACCAAATTTTGAGGTTATGTTCGCCTCCACGCCTATGACCTCCAACGTAAATTTAAGGTTATGTTCTCCTTTGACCTATGACCTTTAAAATTTTAAAGGGAGGGTCATATCTTGATCTCTGATAATAATTTTGAGGTTATGTTCGTCTCTACTCCATCAAAAAATTTAGGTCCTTGATTTTTTAGGTTATGTTCGTTTTAATCTATGATTCTGTCGTTTGACCTTGACTATTGATGTTATTTCAATTTTTAACCTATGTTTTTGATATAGATAGTACAATAACTGAAATTTTCGAGACAAATTCTGAACGGTACACGAGTTTTAATGCTTCGCGAGTTGAACGGTAGGCGAGTACCGTGAGCTCCTGCGTAGCATCGAAATTCTCGCCTAGCGTTGATTCTTGAATCAGCAATATCTTTTTATAATATATATATGAGGCAAAATTCCTGAAATGTCCGAACAAAAAATTAAAAGTTCTCTAATTTAATCCATACTTTTCTAAAATGTTGTTATTGTTGGTGAAAGTCTAAAAATCAATTATTATTGAATTTAATAAAATAATTTTTGAATTACAACGTTTTTAATTTTTGACTTTTGAAAAAAAAAAATTTTTTCAATGTACAATATTTATAAGTAGAATGCATGAAAGTTAACATATATATAATGATTTTTAAAGCTTTTTTGACGGGCTACACGCTGTTAATAAAATTTTTTTTTTTAAATAACATTTGACCTTGAAATTCAAGGTCAAAATGTTAATTTACGTTTATCTCAAAATCGGATTTTTTAAAATTATTTTTAACTATCTCAATGGAAAGCTTGACTAATTTCCTACAAAACATGTAATTTTCAGAGTGGGATCTTTTAAAGTTTTTGAGATATTAATTAATTAATTAATTAATGTTTATAACAAATGAAATATTTTACAAACGAATAAAGTTACCGTAATTCTGAAGTTAGTAATTGAAAGTTAACGTAATTCCGCATCCAACGAGCCCTATATGAAGTATTTTGGATAAGTAGATTGTTAATAAACAATTAGTTAACATTGCAATTGTTTATTAACAATCTACTTATCCAAAATACTTCATATAGGGCTCGTTGGATGCGGAATTAGCTTAACTTTCAATTGGTTAATTTAGATTTACGATAACTTTATTTGTTTGTAAGATATTTCATTTTTTATTGTTATTTAACTAAAATTGATCAAAAATACTTCATATAGGGCTTTTGGATGCTTGTTGTTAGTAAAAAATAAAATATTTTACAAACAAATAAAGTTATGGTAACACTGAACTTACCAATTGAAAGTTAAGCTAATTCCGCATCCAACGAGCCCTATATGAAGTATTTTGGATAAGTAGATTGTTAATAAACAATTGCAATGTTAACTAATTGTTTATTAACAATCTACTTATCCAAAATACTTCATATATGGCTCGTTGTATGCGGAATTACGTTAACTTTCAATTACTAACTTCAGAATTACGGTAACTTTATACGTTTGTAAAATATTTGATTTGTTATAAACATTAATTAATTAATTAATTAATATCTCAAAAACTTTAAAAGATCCCACTCTGAAAATTACATGTTTTGTAGGAAATTAGTCAAGCTTTCCATTGAGATAGTTAAAAATAATTTTAAAAAATCCGATTTTGAGATAAATGTAAATTAACATTTTGACCTTGAATTTCAAGGTCAAATGTTATTTAAAAAAAAAAATTTTATTAACAGCGTGTAGCCCGTCAAAAAAGCTTTAAAAATCATTATATATATGTTAACTTTCATGCATTCTACTTATAAATATTGTACATTGAAAAAATTTTTTTTTTTCAAAAGTCAAAAATTAAAAACGTTGTAATTCAAAAATTATTTTATTAAATTCAATAATAATTGATTTTTAGACTTTCACCAACAATAACAACATTTTAGAAAAGTATGGATTAAATTCGAGAACTTTTAATTTTTTGTTCGGACATTTCAGGAATTTTGCCTCATATATATATATATATATAGTAATGATATATATTTCTGAAAATAATACAAAAACAAATGAATGATAAGAGTTTGTTGAATTTTATTAAAAATATTTTGTTTAAAAGTTAATAAACAAATAAAATTTTTATTTTTTATATTTTTTAAACAAACCATTATTTAACAAAAACACAAAATCAGAATTGTAGAGAATCTCTCAAAGTGAAAAATGAGCCATTGTTTATAAAAATTGTATAAAACTTAGAAATGTTCACAATAACTTTAAAAAAAAAATACAAAATGTTTATTAATTATTATTTAACAACAAATTTTATCTCAAAATATTTCTTTCCCCAAAATTGTACAATTGGATCTGTCGAATTGGGGTGTAATAAATGTTAAATATATTTTTAGTTCTGTTAGAAACTATAATTACTTTTCAGTTTAAGGTTATGTTAATGGGTTGAACCTCCTTAATGTAAAAATGAGAAATTGTTTTGAAATTCTTCGATATTATGTAAATTACTTAAATTCACTTAAATATTTAAGAATAATTTATTAAAATTTATATAGGTACTATAATTATTAAAATAATAAACTTTATTAATTACTTAGGAGAATTAGTATAAAAAATAAAAAAAAAATTTTTTTTACAATACAAAACATACAAAAATTACAATATTTATAGGAAAAATATTTTTTTTTTGCTAATAGTGTATAATTTATTATGATTATTTTAATGAATCTAAGAAAAAAATCTTTAATTTAGAAAAATTATCTCATACAATTATATATAAAGCTCTGTTTTAAAAACATTCCTCCCGTATATCAAATTCCTCTTCAAATCAATGACATTTTTTCGAATATACTTGAGAATATAATTGCAAAGGGGTGCTGCTGCGTTTTTAGAAGATGAAAGGAAGACCATTTTCTTTTTGACGTTTTTTTCAAGTAATACTCAAGTACTCAGATAAGTCGTTTTTAGCTGAGATTATAGATATACATATGAACTAAGTGTACACTGTGTAAAAAAAAATATTCTTTTTACATTTCCGATTTGAATTTGTATACAAATTTGAAGAATTATATAATTCAAAACGATAAATTTAATAGATGTGTCAGTTTTACATTTTTCTATAAATTTACCGTACTAAACCATATAATTTATTAAAAGAAAATCCTTTCGATGTAAGATAAATGTTTTTTCAAAAATCTGATCGTACATATGCATAAGTATATCATTTTTTAGGTTATGTTTTTATAATCACTGAAAAAAAACACCTACGCGTAAAAATTTATTCGAATTACATTCAAAAAACGGACACGTACTGTTTGCAAATCGCAGTACGTTAAATATATTTATTCAATGACTTCTCCATTTTACCACCGTTTAATAAAATAATTAACAAAAAATATATTATACAAAAGATTCATGGCCCGTATTCGCGACATTTGAGACTGATGCCATTCAACTGTGACGTCACCTTGCGCATGTGCAAATCCAAATTTTCTATATAGTAGTAAATCCTCTTAAAAGTAGAGGAATATTCATCAACTCAGAAAATTATTCTCAATTTAAGCGGAAAAAAATAGAATTGTCCTATTTTTTCAATATAGAGACTAAAATGTTATTCATTTTACTCTCCAAATTAGATTTAATTTTACTAATTCTCAATTAGTTTTTTTTTTTTTGGAAAAATTTTAACCTCGTAGAAACTAATTTGTCGAAAAAAAATGTATTTACCCTCCAATTATTATATTTTTTTGTCAAGGTTTGTAAAGTGTTACTTTTTTATTCTATTTTTAGAAATGAAAAATTCAGTTTCTGTGATGAACAACAATCATGACACCAGGAGCAGCCCTAATGGTTCTGCTACTAATGATGACATGTTCTGCGATGACGAACCCATCATCGCGGGCTACTCTCATCAGAAAAGTTTCGAGTGTGAAACTGAGAAGCGGTTACATGGAAATTGTAAAAGAAGAAACGTGCTCCGATACACTTATTCGTTTATATTGCAGGTTTGTTAGAAATTTATTTTTCTTTTCATATATAATAACAAATAAAAATTATCACTCTCTAGTTATGCAATTTTTTTTTTTTTTTGTAAAAAAATTTTTTTCAATTTCGTAATTGGCGCATTTTGCAGCCACATGTTGGCAACCTTGATCTCAATTTTCTCTTTATAACTAACCTCAAATTGTCAAAATTTAACATGTCAGTTTTGTCATAGTCGCAGTCTGTTTATTTTTGTAGAAAAATTTTACATTTTTATTTGATGTGATTTTGTGAATGAAATTTAATATATATGTTTGACATATTTTCGTATTGTAAAAAATAAAAAAAAAAAGATCAGTATTGAGCTCAATGAAAATGAAAAAATTATAAAAAAAAAATATCGTGTACTTTTGTTATTCTTCATTTATCTCAATTGAAGAATTTTTCTTCATGTCTTTCTACAAAATTATGTATCGTATGTAACAAAAAATTCTTTATTTTACTTCTAATTAGGTAACAATATACTAAATTACATACATATTTAATTATCCTTTATCGCCTTTAGACAAAATATTTTTTTTAATTTCTTATTTTCTATCATTGTCTTTCAATTTTGTTCTATATATTTAATTTCCATTTCTTCATCGTTGTCTTATTTATTAATTTAATTTTTTTCTATTGTTAGCTACTTAATTATTTTAGTGAATTTACTTCTTTTTTTAACTAAATTTATTATTTTTGCTTTTTTCTTTTAACAGTTTTTCATTATAATAATTATTATTAAACTATTTTACATTTTTTTCACTTCTGTGAGGTTTACAACGTTTATTATCAACGATTTAGAGAAAAAAAATATCTTTCTGTCCAAATCATTATAATTATTTATTTTAAACAATTTTAGCAACGTTTCCCGTTCAACAATTTTTAAAAGAAAAATTTGTAGATAAAAAAATAATTATTTTCCAAATTAAATTTTCTTTTCAATCGTTGATCATAAACCTTGTGAAATTTCAAATTTTAGTTTAAACAAAAAAATAGAATATAATTTTTTATTAAAATTAAATATAATGGAATTTTACAAATTTTTTTCATTTAGTATTTTTTTATTCTATTATCTACTTAATTATTTTAGTGAACTAATTAATTTTTGAAAAATTAATTAATTATATTTAATATTAATTAATTAATTAATAATTTAAATAAAATACAAAAAAAATATTTTATTATTTGTTCTTCGTTAAAATAGTTTTTCATATATATTATTATTATTATTACTGCGGCCTAGTTTTAATTATAGTAATATTATTATTTTAGTTTTTTGTTAATTTTGTGTACTTTAAGTTAAATAGTACAATTGTTAATATTTAACAGTTTGAAATAAATTAGTAAATTATTTTAGTTTTAAATAGAAAAATAAAATGTTTTTTTTTTTTTTTTATTAAAATTAAATATAAAGGAATTTTTCAGATCGCTGAGATCGATAATATTTATTTTGGAAGCCGAATATCTTCCAAACAAAAGCAATGCTTGTGGTTACGATATAGAAGCTGTAGAGAGAGAACGTCAAAAAAAGTTACGTCAATTAGAAGAACAAAATCGATTTTACAATGTAAAACTTGCAAGATATATGCGAGAACTTTACATGGCGGAAGAAGAAAAAAAATCTCCCATTGTTGATTTTAGATCATCATTAAACAGAAGGTGAGAAAAAATTATTAAATTAAATTTTTCTAATTTCTAATTTTAAATAAAGTAAAAGACGCTATTATTGAAGGGGTCTCAAATTTATTTATGTTTTGTACTAAGATAATTCAATATAATTGATAAAATGTTTGTATTTTCGTTTTATTTACCTTTAAAAAATACTAATTAGACAAAATTAATAATATTAGATGTTTCAATTAAATTAAAATAATGAAATAATGAAATTTCACTTTTGCAGCAGAAGTTGGACATGGTATTTCGAAAGCTGTAGATTGAATTAATTGAATTAAATCTTTGTCCAACTATTGGGTACAATATATAAAGCGGTAGATTAACTTGGACAGTCAATTCAGACAGAATTGGACAGCGATTTTAGAGAAATTGTTTTATATATTTTTTTTACTCCTACAATTAATAAATTTTATTTTACCTAAAAGCTAATTATTTAAAGAGTATCTCAAATTTTTTTTACTTGATTGAGCCGCTGGATTCAAGAAGGGCACGTAAATTTTTTCGGCCGGAAAACGAAGTCACCTAGATACTTAAAATTCATTTTTCGAATTTTAATATTTTTCGAGCATATTCTTATACAGAATTCGATTGCGCATCTTTTTTTCTCAATAAGAAATTTTCCATCTTTTTTCGTTTTCGAAATATAAGAGAAAAACTGTTTTGTTAAAAAAGAAAATTTTCATTGTTTTTTTGACTTCAACTCGCGACAGCTCAGACAATTTTACGAATTTCTTAATGAAACAAAAACGAAAATACGTGTTATTATATTCTACGAGTGACTAAAAAAAGAAAAAAGTTGTTTTGATTAAAAATAAAAAAGTTATTAATTTTTTAATGAGACATTGCAAAATTCATGAACTGCAATTTTCACCCCGTGAGGAATTTTCGTAAATTTTCACCAGCAACAAACTTCCAGTGAGAAAGTTGTTCATTAAGGTCCAAAGAAGTTTTCTGGAAAGTTACAATGCTTCTTTGAACCTTAATGAACAACTTTCTCACTGGAAGTTTGTTGCTGGTGAAAATTTACGAAAATTCCTCACAGGGTGAAAATTGCAGTTCATGAATTTTGTAATGTCTCATTAAAAAATTAATAACTTTTTTATTTTTAATCAAAACAACTTTTTTCTTTTTTTAGTCACTCGTAGAATTTAATAACACGTATTTTCGTTTTTGTTTCATTAAGAAATTCGTAAAATTGTCTGAGCAGTCGCGAGTTGAAGTCGAATAAAAACAATGAAAATTTTCTTTTTTAAAAACACAGTTTTTCTCTTATATTTCGAAAACGGAAAAAGATGGAAAATTTCTTATTAAGAAAAAAAGATGCGCAATCGAATTCTGTATAAGAATATGCTCGAAAAATATTAAAATTCGAAAAATGAATTTTCAGTATCCAGGGGACTTCGTTTTCCGGCAGAAAAAATTTACGTGCCCTTCTAAAATCCAGCGGCTCAATTAATAAATTTTATTTTACCTAAAAGCTAATTATCTAAAGAGTATCTCAAATTTTTTTTATTTATAATTTGAGGGCTATTTTAATTTCTTTTTCTACTGTCCATCTACTGGTTCCAATTTTTGCTTTGTCCAGGTACTGGTTCTTTTACCTTATTAAAATAAGTAAAAATTATTTAATTAAATTGTTTTTAATTACAATTTTTAAATATTAAAATAGAAAAAAATTATTCAATTAAATTTTTGTTAATTACAATTTTAAATATAGAAATAAGTACCTAATATTAACTTTTTTGGATTTTTGCAATAATTTACTAATTTTTGCTTATTTTTACACCAATTTTAAAAATACCGATTCGTTTGTTATGTTGAAGAAAGGCAGATGTCTTTATATTTCACACTCACTTTTGTTTATTTCATTTTCAAAACGTTTGTATAAATGTAGATCTTGTTTAATTTCGTCCTATTTTTTTTCACTTCAAATTTCGAGAAATTCGATTTCTGTTCATTTTTTTTTTTTTTCTTCATGAAATATGCGTGAATTTCAAAGGGTCCATAATTAGGTATAAGTGTGGTTTTCTAGTTTGCGGTTGAAGACACCGAAATTTAATATCCACACCGAGTTATCTCTTACGGATGATTATAAGCTTCTTCTCATATTACTAAAACCACGTATTGTTTAGCAAATAGTCAAAGAAATATATAGGTGTAAAATTATTTTGACAGGGTTTTTTTTTTTTTTTTTTAGATTTATTATAAGATATAAATCGAATCTGACATATAATAACAACAATCATAATTAATATTCAAATAATTAGAAATCAATTCTTATACAAAGACTTTTTTGGTCAGAAAAAAAATTTTAAAAAAAAAATATTAGTTATATATAAAAATAAAATTAATTATAAATAAAGATATAAAAAATTAAAATAATAAAAATACAAAAGATAAGAAAAATTTTGAAAATAATTGACAAAAGTAAACATAAAATAAATTTAAAAAAAAAAAAAACTAAATTTGACAAAAATATGAAAAAGAAGTTACAAAGTTACGAAAAAAATCAAGTAAAAAAAAAATAAAAAACTGAACAACAAATAAAATAAACAAAAATTTAATAATAAATTAAAAATACCAAATTTATCAAAAATCGATGAATATAAAAATTCAATAAATTTATTTTTTTGACAATTTTTGTATAATGACAATTGCCAGAATGATTTTTTGAATTTTTATCTTCATCCTTTTTTTGAAATTTGGTAATTTTACTTTTTGTATATTATACGCTTCAATTTTTATTTTTTTTGCAGTTTTGTCAAATTTTGTTATTTTTAATATTTCTTTTTTCGTATTTTTGTTAAATTTTGTTATTTTTTAATTTATTATGTTTACTTTTGTCAATTATTTTTAAAAAATTTGTTATCTTTTATTTTTATTATTTTAATTTTTGTAATTTGTTTGTATTTTCTTTATTAGTTTTATCAATTATTTTTATTTGTCTAAAACTTAAATCTCTAAATTAAAATGTAGCTCACGCATCTTGGTATTAAATAAAAATTAAACTACATCTTAAATTTTGAGAAGGCTTTTTCAAATCGCTGGTCTATTTTCATTCAAACATACTTCTGTGGAAGTCTCCGCAGAGCTTATGGTCTTCTTAGCATTGTGAAATATATATATATGTATATATATTTATGTGTGTAGATCTATTGCAACAATGGTCGAATAAAAACGGCAACATTTGAATGAATAGAGTGCAGATGTGCAACAGAAAGGCGAAAATTCTCTCCACACATTTATATCGTATTGAGGGGAGAGGCAACCAAATTTTCCACACAAAAATCGCTCATTGAATAAAAAAAAAAATATATATATATTCATATGAGTATTTTTATAATTTTTTTTTTTATAGAATATTTTTATAAAATTAATACTTTCCATTGCTTTTTTTTCTTTACAATGAAATTACTTTTTTTTACAAAAAAAAGACACAATAAAACTATTTTTTTTTTTTTTAATAAAAAAATATGTTTTTTTATTTTTATTTCTAGGAAAGGAAAGTGTGAAAATTTACCCTCCACATATATAAATAGTGAAGTAAAAAAATGTGACAAAAAAATATTAGCCATATAATACTGAGTATACAAGGGTGTAAGTTAAATTCTCTTGGGGTTGTGCGAGAGAACCTGATGCTAAATACCCTGGCAAATATGAATTTTCGGTTATTATTACCAACCCTCATATATATAGATGCGCCATATGATTTTTTGCTGAAGTCATGTTCCTTGTAATCCTGTATCAGTTAGTCATTCTCTAATAGATTTTTTTTTTACATTTCGAAACGTTTAGATAAACGTTTATTTTTCTCTTTTAGTCATTTATAAAAATTTCTCGAGACAGTTTCAAATTTTAAATACCATTAATAACAATTTGCAATGCATGATTATTCCGCATAAAAATCATTTGTTAGAATTATTATTTTAAAGAATTTTATTAAATATAATATTTAATTTTTAACTGTCAGAAATTTCAATTCAGTGAAATTTTATTTATACGAATTTTTATTTGCAATAAATTAATAGAATTTTTTTTTTTTTTTTTTTTTTTGCAAGAAATAAAAATTTATTTCCATTTTCTTACAAAATAAAAATCTATTATGAGAAAAATTAAATTTCTTTCAATAGAATTTGACAGAGTAATTTCGGAACTTTATATAAGAGAACAAGAACATGTGCAAATATATCGATGCTTGACAAAAGGGTGGCTTTCTCCTTCTATATAGAGAGATGGGGTGTAAATCAGACCCTTCTGCAATTTTGTGCACTCAATATCCGTCAACTATAATTTCTCTTTTAAATTACTAACTTGATATGTAACTATATTTTTTAAAATATGTCATTTTTTGTCAAAAGATATCTATATATATATGTAAAAAAAACTGAATTTGAATTAAATATAAAAATATATTTGTCTCAAAGCTTGATAACTTTTTACTTGTTTGAAATAAAATTTCGTTAATTTTGAATTTATTTTTTTTTTATTTATAGTAAAACCCACGTATATCGGACCCGCATAATTCGGATTCCCGCTTACATCAGATTTCTTTTCCGATCCCTTGAAATCCGATATACGTGGGTTTCACTGTATTAATAATTTATTAATCATTTTATTTATTATTTCAGTGTTTTATATATGGGCGATTTCACGTGAGATTTCCGTCAACCCTTTTTAAATTCGGCCAAATATATTTTTTTCTTATTCTGTAGTGAAAAAAAAGAGATAAGTATTTTTTTTATTTTTTTTTTTCTCAAAAATTTTCGAGTTATGAATTTTTAAAATTTCAGTTTCTTCAATGTAGACCTATTTTCAATGTCTAATAACTCGAAAAAAATGGATTTTTTCGATTTTTGATAAGAGAAGAAAAATTTCAGTTTTTCTTTTACTTTTCAATAATGTTAACAAAAAAAATTTTTTTTCATTTTTTATTAAAAAAATAACAATTTTTTATAAATAAATTAAGTTTTCTTTAATTTGGATATGCACAGAAAATTAAAAGGCATTAAAATAAGCTGTAACACTTATTATTTTAATCCAATTTTGCTTATTTTAATACCAAAATGGATTAAAATAAGCAAAATTGGATTAAAATAATAAGCGTTGCAGCTTATTTTAATGCCTTTTAATTTTCTGTGTGATTTTAAAAAAATTTTTTTTTGTTAAAAATTTTTAATTGTAAAAAATTATTTTTTTTCATTTTTTTTAGAATCTGAAATCATATTTCATTATGAAAAATGAAAAAAAAATCATTCTTAACAATTTTACAATTTTTTTTAATTTTTAAAAATGCGCAAAATGCTGTGCGCGGTGTTTAAATGTTTATTTAAACCTATAAAACTTATCGACCCACTCTAAATTTTTTTGCAAAATGTTCTTAGTATTTCCAGGTATGTTTTTAAAAAAATGTTTAAAAAAATCAAATCAAATTAAAAAAAAACTTAATTTGTTTTTAAAAAATTGTTATTTTTTTTAACAAAAAATGAAAAAAAAATTTTTTGTTAATATTATTGAAAAGTAAAAGAAAAACTGAAACTTTTCTTCTATTATCAAAAATTGAAAAAATACATTTTATTCGAGTTATCAGACATTGAAAATAGGTCTACATTGAAGAAACTAAAATTTTGAAAATTCATAACTCGAAAATTTTTGAGAAAAAAAAAATAAAAAAATACGTATCTCTTTTTTTTCACTATACAGAACAAGAAAAAAATATATTTTGCCGAATTTAAAAAGGGTTGACGGAAATCTCACGTGAAATCGCCCATATATGTTTATTATAAGCATTTAATTTTCTTGTACAAGTATGTTGGCATGTCATATAAAATAGAGAACATAATAGAATTTACACATATAACGTCATTGACCTATAGGGTTAATATTCGCGACATCAGTTTATCAATAATACAAAGTGAATGTATAACAGTAGTAATCGATCACTTACACTTAAAATTAACTCTGTGGAAGATTGACTATAAGGAAATTATTATGTAACATATAAGTATAGGATCCGATCATTAAATATTAAATTTTTACTATGTATATTATTATTATTATTATTATTATTATTATTATTATTATTATTATAATTATTATATATTTGATTATATTATTATTACACTGAAAAATATTTATTTTGGACCAAATAATTTTTATCTGAATCAAATTTTTTTTAGTGTATTATTATTATTATTATTATTATTATTATTATTAATTAGATTTTTTTTATTACATAAAAATTGAAATTCTGTAAACTTTAAATACATTTTAAAAGTAATTTAGAAACAATTTTAATAAGATAATACGTTTTTATTTAAAATTTATAGAAAAAAGAAAACTAAAAAAAATTGTTATTAAAAATGATAAAAGTAAAAATTTTTGTTTATTTTAGATGTTCGGGACTACAACATTGTAGATACAAAATGTCCTCAGATCATCCAGGACCTCCTATTTGGAATCCTGCGAATATTCGTGTAAAATATGCGTGTATACCAGGTAAGAATTTATGATATATATTTATTATTTATAATTTTTAGCTATGCAATTTTTTTTAACACAAACCTCATTTTTGAGTATTTATTATTTTATTATATATAAATAGATACAATAATATAATTCTAATTTATAAAAAAGTAAAGTTCCCGTGTGGAAATCTTCCCAAAGTCGCCCAAAGTGAGACTGGGCGCCAATCTGGGCCCAACTTGGCCATTATAATTTTTAATAATTTATAGATTGAAAAAAATATTTTGTTCATTTGAACGTTTAGAACTTTTGGCTCATTATTTAAAAGAATTTCTAATTCATAGAATTTTCATTTGTCCGAAATTGCAAATGACCGAACAAACAATCGACAGAAAGATTCGGCGCGATTTTTAAAATCAACCAATTAAAAATTATCCATAAAATTGTGATTGGTTGATTTTAAAAATCGCGCCGAAATCTATCTGTCGTTTGTTTTTTCGGCCATTTGCAATTTTGGACAAATGAAAATTCTATCAATTAGAAATTCTGTTAAATGATTTTTCGGGTTATGAAAAAATTCTGTAGTATGAAAAATCGGTTATATGGAAATTATATCAAATAATAATTAGAACAAATGAAAATTCATCTGAAAGAAAATTCTATGCAATGAAATTCTACCCAATAAAAATTTTTTAAAATGCCTACATATTATGTTAAATGAAAATTCGAGTAAATAAAAATCCTGACAAATAAAAATTCGAACAAATAAAAATTCTGTGAAGTTAATTTTCGGTCATATAAAAATTGTGTAATATAGAAAATCTTTTTGATGAAAATTCTGCAAAATACTAATTCAAAGAAATAAAAATTCTGCTCAAAAATAATTATGGCAAATGAAATTCCATAGAAAATTCTAACTAATGATTTTTAGTACATATTCATGCGCCTCGATTGGAATCCGGATGTTTGGAATTTTGCTATATGCATAAAAGTACACAAAAATATAAAATTTGGAATTTAAAAATTACAATTTTTCAGTATATATAATACTGAATAATACATTTGTAGAAAAATATTGTCAACAAACACTGGAGATTTACTCTCTTCGTTCATACTTATTGTTATAGTATTGTTAACAGGATTCGCAATATATATAGAAAATATACAAATGCGTAGACAAAAAGGAACATGCGGTGTACCGCAAACCCTGTTCACAATAGGACCCTTTTTCGAAATATTCAGAAATATGTATATATAGTGAACAGCTGTGAACTCAGTGGATTTCTAATCCAAAGTATGGGTTGAAAAAATAAATCCACCCTCACTGCTTTTAGGTGCACTTATAGTCTTTATCAAAAGTTTCGTTTGCTACAAGAATTAACAATGAATCACATATATATATAGAGAGAATATATGTAAATATACTTTAGCTCAAATGTCAAGAAATTGGATATTTGCCATATATAGTAAAGTGTTTTCTGCTGACATAAATGTAGAGAAAAATATTACGTTTCATCAATAACAAAATTTTTAATAATATATTTAATAGAATTCAAAAATTGTAATTTTTTCAATGCAAAAAAATTTGTTTTCGATTTCAAATATCTGAGACGCATAAATAAGCTCTAAAAAATTAATTTCTCAGAATTTTCATTTCACAGAATTTCAAAATTAACCAATAAGAAGTTATCAACGAAATGATGATTTTTTTTTTGCCTCAAAATTTTTCTGACAGATGTTTATTTGGACAAATGAAAGTTCTGTAAAACAAAAATTCTGCGTTTTAAGAATTCTATATAAAATGTAAATTCGAACAAATGAAAATTCGGATAGAAATGAATTCTTTCTAATATTTTTTTTCTAAAATAAAAATTCTTTTAAGTGAATATTCTGCCTAATGAAAATTCGAGCAAAGAATAAATTATGTTCAATTCAAATTCGATGAAATAAAAAGTCTGTAAATTGAAAATTCGATTAATCTGTATATTATAGAAATTTGGATAAAAGGAATTTCTTTTAATTAAATAATTCGAAGAATTAAAAATTTGGCTAAAAATTAATTTCAGGCAATGAAATTTTGTAAAATGAAAATTATTTATTTATTTAAGAAAAATAAGTTTATAAATAAATAAAATTATAACAAATTAATTTTCGAACTTATTCATGTGTTCAAATTAAAAAAAAAAATTTTGCACTATCTGATTTTAAATATTATTGATGACTATAAATATATATTTAATAAAAATTTTGCAGTTCAAAAATTCTTGAAATAATTTTTCTATAGAGAGAAAATTTTTATGCCTATCAATTATAATGTAAAAATAATTAAATAATGTTGAATTACTAAATAAATTTTTTGTTGTTTAGAGCAAAATAATTATTTATTAGTTTCAAATAAAAATTGTGTTTGCTTAATTAAACTATTGTTACAGAACAATATTTATTGATTTAGAGAAGTTTGTAAATCTTTATCATCATAAGATTGTAAATTCTTATATAAGTAAAAAAAAAAGGAATATTATTATTTCTGAAAAAAGCAAGTTTTAAATTGAAAAAAATATTTTACATAAAAAAATGAATCCTGCTTTGATAACGCATGGTTATAAGTTATTCTTCAATATACTCTATTTAAAAATTCAAAATTACATCTATTAGAATACGAAAATGATAAAATTTAAATGAAAATATTTTTAATTTTTTTTTTAAATTTAAAAATTTAAGTAAATTGTAAAATTAATTTTTAAAATTTAGAAAATTTGACCTTTTTTCAACGGATAAGAAACTTGTGTGTTAAAAAGTTTCCACTGATATTATACAGATGTCTCCAGTTGCTTAGGACTTGTTTTTCAGATATAAAAAAAAATGGTAACAAAGTGTTATGAAATTTTCATTAGGAATTTAAAGTTTTCGTTATAAATTTAAAAAGAAGAGTCAAAACTTGGTTAAAAATAATTTTTTCTATCCGTACAATAAATTTTGGACAATTATATTTCGTAAACATTTTCTGGCAGTTTTGAATTTGAATTCTAAAGTTGAGTTGTAAGAAAAATATTTTAGAAATTTAATTAAAAAAAAACAACATTTGGCGTTGGAGAATTAAATTTTTCTATTAAATATCGCATTTTATCAATTAAAAAGTTTATACAATTAACTTTAGTTTTACAGGTTTTACAAAACTGCATTTTAAACTTAAAATACAGTTTTGAAATTAGATTTTTTAAATTCTTGATAAAAATAAAAAATTTACCTAATGTAATAAAAAAAAAAAATTATTTCTAATACTCTGTGACCATTTTATATAAAAGATTTATAAAGTTTTTTTTTCGTTTCTATCTGAATTGTAAAATTAAATAATTCAAATGATTTGAAAAATGAGAGCAATTTTAAATTATACATAACGAATTTTTGTCATAATATTAAAATATTACCTCGACTATGGTTAATTATGCAAGCTGGTCCATTTTCGTGACTCAATCAAGTACCTTCATCTCTTTATAGTCGGTAAAATGCTGTGCCAACTAAAACATTAAAAATGTCGCCATAAAGTAAAAACAAAATAAAATAATGTGAAAATTTGAATTATTTTTTATTTTTGTAATACCTATAAAGTTTTTTTTTATATTTCAATAAAAAAAAATATTTTTTTTTCTTTAAAAAAGACTTCATTTATGTATAATTCACAGAAAATTGTTAAAATTTGTTATTCAACAAAAAGTCTTCGATAAATAAAGTTCAAAAACGATATGTAATTAAGAATGTAAATACAAATCATCTGCAAATAGCTCTCAATGAAAATACTTCACAAACTGTACTGAAAAAATTATTTTATCAAATATTCAGTTACTTGATTATCGAATATGAATATTTATTAATATTCTCAACCAAAAATTTCATTATTATACCAAAATTAACTACTGGCGCAGTACTGGTTCAGTATTGGCTGCCGAGACTAGGCAGTCTGTACTGAACCAGTACTGGTATTTTCATTGTATCAGTACTGGTGCAGTACCACCCTCCCAGTACTGGCAAACCAGTACTGAGCCGATATTGAGCCAGTGCTGGCTCAAATAGATTTTCTTTTTGATTAATACTAGTTTACAAAAATTTCTAGAGTGAACCTGATGAATCTTTTTGTTTAAATATTTTGTTTATAAAAATTTTTTCACTTTGATTTTATTTTTGAAAATTAAAAGGTATTTTATTTTGCTTTTTTGTGGGTAAAATTATTTAAACAAAAAGTTTCCTGAGACTAATTCCAAAACATTTTGCAAGTTTTTTTTATTGTTTTCAGATATGCAATAAACCAAAAAAAAATTTTAAACGATCAAACTAAAAATAAATAAAATTTTTTATAAAAAAATTAATAATTTTTAAAATAAAAATTCAAAAAAATTTTCTTGCCAACACTTGTTAAAAATTAAAAAACAACTTTTATTTTCTTAAAAAAGTTTTTCAAAAATTTATTTTGATGCAAATAAAAATAAAGTGAATAATAAAATAATTAAATAACTAATTGTATAATTATATACATTATAATTATTTTATATACATTTTTATTTTTACTGAACTGTTTTTATATATTATAAAAACTTTGGTTTTATAATAAACATATTTTTATATTTATTTTTTGATTTTTTAAAATAATAATTTGCAATATATATTATAATAAAGAATAAAAATTCTTGGCGTTTTCGATTTTATAATAAAATATTAATTAGTTAGTTGACTAATTTAATTAATATTTAATTTGTGTTGGGTTACTAAAAATTTCACACACTTTTTCCTAAAAAAAAGTATTACCTGAAGCAGAGATTTTACTATTGCTGTGCAACTTATCTCTGTTACAGTTAAAGCTATCTTTTCGTATACAAGAAAATTACAAAACTGCCAGTACTCGGCCAGTACTGAACCAGCAGTGGTTACCAATACTGGTGCCAACTCTGGTAGCCAATACTGGTAAAATGTTATCATCCCAAAGTTACGCCAACTCTGGCGCCAATACTGGGTGCCAGTACTGCGCCATTAGTAAATTTTTGATATGGTTAATTTACATAGTCTTCAAATTTGTTCGACTTTTTTATTTTAATAAAATTTTTTTAATTATTTATTTTTAAGTTTGTTTATATATTTTCTACAAATTAATTTCAAATTAATAATTTAATAATAAAAAATTCACCTAATGTGGTGAAGATAATTTAAAATTTTTAAAACTTTTTAAAATAAAAGCAAACAAAAAATTATAGAACGAGAGAGAAAAATAATAAAAATTAAAAATAAAATAAAAGAATTCATTCACAATTTCTACTTGACAATTTCCAAGTTATTGAGATAGGACGTGTGGTTATTGTGCGACTCTTCTTATTTCTATATAAAATATCTATTTTGCCCTATACCTGAAATACTCAATTTGTAGAGAAAATCAAGATAAATAGAAAAAAGAAAGAGGGAAAAACACGTTTTTATGTACAACACATAGATGTATATATCAAGTGCAGGAAAGAATAAATGATGATTCCCCTTCGATGCCCTACAATCGGTCCAATTCCTACCACCAACTTATTCCCCTCTCCCATATTCGCAGCCGCTCTCAACTTTACACCCCCGAGAGAGAAATTGGGACAAGGGCACACTTGTCTCTATTCACACAAATATAATATATATATCCCCCAGACATCCCTGATATCAAATTTATGACTTTTCAAACGATTCTAAACACATATATGACAGTATAGATGTAGGCCCTGCATCAGGAGAGAGAAAAAAAAATAAAAATCGCTTTGTTACCATAATTTTTTTTTTTTTTTTTTTTGACAAAGTATATAATTATACCCACATATAACTTAAAATTGCAGCAATATTGACAATATTTCCTAAATATTCTATAATTTCTACAATATTGGACAACTGGAAACTCTTGCGGAAATTTGAACAAATTTTTTTCACATAACTTTTAGTTTAAAAACTCAATTTTTCAACATAATATTAAATTGAAATTTTTGTTTGTATTGAACAAACACATATTGCACTGAAAAAAAATATAACATAAATTCCAGGCCTCGGATCGACTTTAAGGCACAAAAAAGTCGTTTTAGTCGATATTCCAAAAAAAATAGATTTTTTTTATTTTAACAAAATTTAATTGGTTAATAAATATTTTACTTTAAATAACTAATCCCATGTGGAAATGTCGACTGGGCCCCAATCTGGTCCAGACTGGGTTTCCCAATATGTCCAAAGTGGGCAACCCTAGACAACGCCCAAACTGGGCGCGTAACGCTGATCCCAAAGATTTCCCAAGGTTGGTAAATCCCAGCTGGGGCCAGATTGAGTTATTCCATTTTTATTTATAATTGTTAATTAATAATTATATAAATAATTTAACAACAAAAGAGTAAATTAAATGAATAAATATAATTTCCCTTTAAATTAAATTGTATTAAAGATGACGACTAACAAACAATGTATATAGTAAAAAAAGTAAAAAAAAATATTTATATAATTTAAAAATGAAATAATAGTGTATGTATTAGATTTTCAAGTTTTGGTACAACTTATAAATGAAAATCTAGAAATAACGCAAACCTATGAAATAAAGAAAACTGCGCACGAGGGGAATCGAACCTACGACCTACGGACTTATAGATTAACGCTCTAACCACTATGCTAACGACGCGTATACCTGCAGACAAGTTTTAATTTCTCAGTATCAAAGATGTGAAAAATATCATTAGGTTAGACAATAAATTAAAATATAATCACTTACTTAATTTCATTTATTTTAATTTAACATTTTTACCAGTAATTAATAAGTACCAAAGTATAGTTGTCGTTCAAGTCAAAATTTTGTTCAATTATTATTAATAAATTGAATAAAAATAGGAAATAAATGATTGAGAGTGGGAAAGCCCAAACTCAAAAAACGACTAAGTTATTATTATTAATAAGCTTAGTTGAATAAATTAAAAACTAAGAACTTGACATACATTTTATTTATTCAGGGAAGGTATTATTTGAGCATTAATATAATATTAACTAAAGTTTTCAATTTCCTTATTTTTCCTTAAATGTGAATTTTGCCCATATTGGCTTTTGGAAAAATCTCCAAACAGCATATAAATTAAATATAATTAACTAGTTTTATTATTTCTCAAGTTTTTTTATTTATTTATAACAGAATATTAAATTGAATTTCAGTTTGGGAATACTTTGGGAAATCCCAGTTGGGGCCAGGTTGGGTTGACCCAAACTTTGCCCAAGTACAATGAAAAACAAACATTTTTTTCAGCTTTTCACAGTTGAGCTTTTTTGTATATTTGTTCAGCATATTTTTTAAATAATAATTTAATTAACTTAATTCTTTTATTTCTTCATTTTTCAAACTTTGGGAAGTCAAGTTGGGCCCAGATTGGCGCCCAGTCTCACTTTGGGCGACTTTGGGAAGATTTCCACACGCGATGTTATTAGATACTGAGTTTTTTTTATTAATTCCATAATGAAAATAATTCTATAAAAATATTATCAAGAAAAATTATTTCGAATATTTCAGAATCGAACTAATTGTATAAGATAAGACCAATTTTCAAAATTGTACTTAAGGCCAGGTGCAACTCGTCAAATGTAAACAAACATGAAAATGTACGCAATTATTGACAAATTTGCGACAGCCTTTTTTTAAATAGAAAAATAATAAAAATTGTTCTTTCTTTATGTGAAAATGGAAAATTCATATATATAAAACTACAGCCTGACACCGTATTTGACTAATAATATGAATAATGTAATTAATAATTATAATAAAATGAAAATTACACTGAAACAACAATTTTCTCATAGTTACGAAAAAATAACTATTTCACTAAGAAAACTGGAGGTTCAAATTCTGAGGTTCATAAAGTGTATGATTCCCCTTATTATTACAGAGAGTTTAATAGACGTATAATACCCCCCACCATAGAAAAATGTATTGTTTTTGAAAAATTTCAGGTAATTTACATATGTAATATACGTAAAAAACTCTATGTTATTTACCTGAGGTATATTACATACGCAATCCTGTTTGTTTCTCAATCAAATAGACCGAATTTTGGGGTTAGGTTACCATATTTATTCGTTCCGCGCAGTTCCGCGTACGATAAGGAAGGGATTTCTCCATGGAGTAGTATAAGGAGACCGAACGACCATGTTAAATTTGCGTTAAAAGTGGATTAAATTTTGGTAACCGATTAGTGTCATGAAAATACGTAATGGAACACTAGCGCCACTGATTGTGTAAAACTCAGCTGGACAGTCAGCCATTGTAAAAGTTTTAAAAATAAGGAGCAATGTATTTTTGGGTTATGTTCAACGTACTTCTAATTTTTCCCACTGTTTACATACTTCCCACACGAGGCGCATGATTTTTCCCAAAAATTAAAAAGTTCGAAATTTTAATTGATCGAATTACTTTAAGTCGATATTTTATTTGGTCGAAATTCTAAATGATCGTCATTTAAAGTGGTTGAAATTTTATTAGTTCGATATTTTGTTTGGTCGATATACTAAATGATCCACATTTAAAGTGGTCGATATTTTATTTATTCTATATTCTAAATGATAGAAATTTAGAAGCATCGAAATTTAATTTGGTCGATATTTTAAAAGCTCGACATTTTTTTTAGTTATACGAGTTTCCTCTCTATGTTGTTATTATTATTTACATCAATAATTTCAAATTTCCCGCAAAATTTCAATGTACTTTACCGACAAACTACATAGAAAGGAAACTCGTATAGCTAAAAAAGTGTCGAGCTTTTAAAATATCGACGAAATTAAATTTCGATGGATATAAAATTCGATGGTGTATTTCATTATTTAGATTATTTTCCAATAGGATAACTCTCAAATATAAACTCTTTATTCCTCCAAATGTTCACTTCAAACCTCCAATTTTCTCAGTGTTGAGTATATCTGACGGACGGACGAAGTAAACCTGAATGGGAGAAATAGTGTGGGAAGGGGTAAAAGACCTAATCTCTGTCATCTGGTGGGAGTATAATTTCAAAATTTTACCCTTTCCAACTTGTTACCGTCCAATGGCTCAACTCTTTCTCCCACCTAGTCAAATAAGGTGTCAGGCTGTAGTTTTATATATGAATTTTCCATTTTCACAAACAATTTTTATTTTCTATTAAAAAAAAGGCTGTCGCAAATTTGTCAATAATTACGTACATTTTCATGTTTGTTTACATTTGACGAGTTGCACCTGGCCTTAAGGATATGTGGGAATCTCCCACGTGACCTAGTATGGGAAAATGTGTTTTGGTAGTATACATTTCACTCTAAAATGAGAAAAGGTTTTTGTCTACAATTTTGAGAGATGATAGATTAGGATACAAGGAATCTCGCTGTTCTTCGAAAAATACATAATTTTGCGTTAAATTATTAAAAAATGAAGTTTAAAAAGTGTGATTTTTAAACGAAAATAAAAACAAACATGGCGGCGCATACACAGACGTTGCTTGAGTGTGTCAATGCTCCAGTAAACAGCGCCAATTCGAGCGAGTGGCCGCTGAATGAACTACGATTAAATACATTATTTTACTATTTATTGCTTTATTTTTATTCTTTTTGCGTTAACTTATGGTAAATGAGTAGAACAGTAAGATTCCTTGTACCAAACAAAATCGTTTCTCCTAAATTTTAACCCAAAATCATTTTTTATTTCAGAGAAATTTTCAAACCACAAAAAAACGTCCTTTGTCCACATACCTTTAACGAAAAATTTATATTCTGAAGAAATAATTTCTTAAATTGAAATTTAATTAATATTACTATAGATACTGGAATTTTTGAATGAGAAGACCTAATACATAAGGAATTAATTTTATTTTTCTAGAAGTAGAAATAAAAAAATATTGCAATCTACATGTGAAAGTGATAGAGGGAGAGGAAGGTTACATCAAAAATCCAGGATATCCTCTTTATTATCTTGGTGAAAATTCATGTGGGTGGATATTTAGATCCCTCCCTGGGCAGAGGATAGAGCTGACAATTCACGACCTCCATCTTCGTGGTAAGTGCTTTTAAGTTCTCGAATTTGCCACTTAATGTCTTTTGATCTTTCAGGGTTGAAACTCTCATATTTCTGTCAATGTCGTTCTAATTTTTTTTTTTTTTTTGCAACGAAGAAAAAAGCTCAGCAAGAAAAGCTAGAAGAAAGTGGATACTATGTCAAAACGTATAGATATATATAGTCCATTATATATTGAAATATTCATATAGTAGAGCTTTTGTCATATATAAAACACATGAATAATTTAAAATAGAGATATAACTAAAAATTTCAGTGGATCATAAATAAAATTTTAACAAATCTTTTTATGAATTCAAATTTAAAAATAAAAATAATACTTTTTTTCTTTAATTATAAAAAAAAGAAATAATATAGATAAATAACAAAATTTTAAATAAATAAAAATTTACCCAAAATTTTCAAAGTAGATGCGATTTAAATAATACAATAAATAATAAAAATTTAAATTTATGGAATTTCATTTGTCATAATTATTTTTGAGATAAATTTTTATTTGTTTGAATTAGTATTTTGCAGAATTTTTATCTAATTCATTGAATTTTCATTTGTCCGAAATTGCAAATGACCGAACAAAAAATCGTCTGAAAGATTTCGGCGCGATTTTTAAAATCAACCAATCAAAAATTATCCATAAAATTGTGATTGGTTTGATTTTAAAAATCGCGCCGAAATCTATCTGTCGTTTGTTTGTTCGGCCATTTGCAATTTTGAATTAATGAAAATTCTATCATTTAGAAATTTTGTTAAATGATTTTTCGATTAGGTAAAAATTTTGTAGTATGAAAAATCGGTTATATGGAAATTATATTAAATAATAATTCGAACAAATAAAAATTCATTTTTAATGAAATTTTCAATTATCAGAATTTATATATAACCGAAATTGAATTTATCAGAAATTTCTACAATGCCGCAAAATTTCGAATCATCTAAAATTCGCATTAATAATTTTTTTTGAAAAACTCTATTTTGAATTATGTAATAAAATATTTTTTCAATTTTATTGACTTTTTATTTATTCTTTAAAATGAATTTTTTATATTTTTTTTTCTAAAACCCTGTGCTGATAAAAAAAAAATATTTTGTTTTTGCAGCTCATGCGCTAGATGGAAGCTGTGTGGATGTTATAAGAATAAGAGACAGTGGTAAAACAATTTATGAAAATTGTGGAACCGCTGCTGGAATTACTGTAATTTCAAATACAAATTTAGTAACAGTTGACCTCGTTGCATCGAAGAATTTGTATCCCGCCCGCGGATTTTTGTTGCAATATAAAGGTATTTTTATTATACATTAAATTATTATTTTTTTTATCAATCGATTAATCACGATTAGCTCGCACCTCGTTATTTGCAAAAATTCTCTTTTAAAAATTTTTATTAAAAAAAAAAAAAAATTCCCCAATAATCTATTTTTTAAGAAAATTATGAAATTAATAAAAATAATTACAAATAATTATAAAAATAATTAATAAAAAGAATTAATAAATAAAAAATTATTTATATTTGAGAATCTCAGTTAGTGAGAAATCTGAAAATGTTAAAAAAAAATTAAATGGATTAAATAAAAATTATTTGATGCAAATAAAAGATTTACTTTTCTATTATCTATTGTCCATTATGTATTTAAATTTAAACCAATTAAATATATTTACTAGACCTCAATATTTTATCTAATAAATAGGAATTTGTATCAAATATAAATTATAATTTAAAACAAAGAGATACAAGGAAATAAATCTTTATCTGAAAAAAAATAAATTAAAAAATCTGGAAAAAATAGCGAAAATTTTCGCTGTTTAAGTTGAATATATCCAGTAAAACTTATTGTTGATGTTTCAGGTGAAGATTTTTTCCGTGTATAATAATTGGAGCAAATAAATAAATTAATATTATTAACTTGATCTAATTAAAATTTATTTATAGTTTAAAAAAACGTAATTCAAATAATTTAAGTAATTTGAATAAAATTTTGTGGATGCAAATGAGGTATTTCATATGAGAAGACGGGGTCATGTCTCGGATTTTTCTCAAAATTCGGTAAATTGTAGTGATAGTGGTGCTAAATAAGTGTACAAATTTTGAATTTGAAATTTTTAATATTTTTCGAAATATTTACAATTACAAATTTGAGCAATATTTTTTTGCTTTACTTATAACTTTTTTCCTATTAAAAATAGAGAAAAATGTTGTAGATGTTTTTTACGCAGATCTTAAACTTTTAGAAAAAAATTATTTTTTTAAAAAAATATTAATTTTTAAACAATTTGTTTAAAAAATAAAATTTGTTTATAACTTTTAAACATGTTCTCTCTCATTTAGAAGCGCGAAAAAAATCATGAATATTGTTTAAGTCATAATAAATAGATGGTTAAATTTTTGAGATGGCATTATTTTTTGTTTTCGAGATATTAATTAATTAACTAACAAAAGTTAATAAAAAATGAAATATTTTACGAACAAATAAAATTAGAGTAATTTTAAAAGCATCATTAGAATGCTTATCAAAATCCGCATCCAACGAGCCCTATATGATCTATTTCTAAAAAACAGGTGTTAAATTAATAATTAATAATAAAATTTATTTAAATAATTAATAACATTTGAAGAAATGAAGATAAACCGTCAATTCTTTTTTTATTTGGAGGATCATCTAATTCTGTGTCAAAAAAAGAATATTAAGTATTACCAAGAATCAAAAATTAATTATAAAATGTTATTTAGAAAAAGACTGAAAAATACCATGCCGAGTAGGTAGACAGCCCCCTCCAACTTGTGTCGTGGGGTGCTGAAACATTGATTTTCAATAATCATCAGTTAATAAATTAAATTTGTTAAAAATGTTATTTACACTGGTTTTATTTAACACAGAATTATATGATCTTCCAAATAAAAAAAGAATTGACGATTTATCTTCATTTCTTCAAATGTTATTAATTATTTAAATAATTTTTATTATTAATTATTAATTTCACACCCGTTTATCCAAAATAGTTCATATAGGGCTCGTTGGATGCGGATTTTGATAAGCATTCTAATGGTGTTTTTAAAATTACTCTAATTTTATTTGTTCGTAAAATATTTCATTTTTTATTAACTTTTGTTAGTTAATTAATTAATATCTCGAAAACAAAAAATAATGCCATCTCAAAAATTTAACCATCGATTTATTATGACTTAAACAATATTCATGATTTTTTTCGCGCTTCTAAATGAGGGAGAACATGTTTAAAAGTTATAAACAAATTTTATTTTTTAAACAATTTGTTTAAAAATTAATATTTTTTTTTAAAAATAATTTTTTTCTAAAAGTTTAAGATCTTCCGCGTAAAAAACATTTACAACATTTTTCTCTATTTTTAATAGGAAAAAAGTTATAAGTAAAGCAAAAAAATATTGCTCAAATTTGTTATTGTAAATATCTCGAAAAATATGAAAAATTTCAAATTCAAAATTTGTACACTCATTTAGCACCACTATCACAACAATTTACCGAATTTTGAGAAAAATCCGAGACATGACCCCGTATTCTCATATGAAATGCCTCAAATATTAAAAAAAAGATCCATTAAATATTTTTCAAATATTTTGAATTAATTGAATCAAATGCATGATTTTTATTTTTATTTTATAAACTAAAGAAAAATTAAAATAAAAAAAATATCCTCGTACAAAGAACTCTCACTTATTCAGGTTCGACTGTAGATATAAATAATTTAAGGGGGTCATAAGAATTAAAATGCAAAATAAATTCCAGGGTTGAGTCTACTATCTTGATTTGAAGTTAAACTTTTGAAAATTTGCATCTCTTTCTTAAAATATATTTTACTCCTTTGAGGTTTGCCTATGGAAAATGAAAAACTGATCTACATAAATCCAATATAATTTCAATTGAATCAAAAGTAATATTTCTTTTCGTGAAACTCGCATCTCGATAAGAAATATATATATATGTATATCACGTGAAATCGAAGATTTAGTCACGTGTAAAAGTTGAGTTTATATTTTAAACGCATGGAAATTCTGAGAGGTCGTCGGTTTGCGTAATTTTTACTATTATCATTTCACACATTGTTAGTGTTTCAGAGGGAGATGATTTATTTTCATGAAAATGAATAAATAAATTATAATAGATTTTTTGCCACCCCCCACTCATCCTTCCCCTACAATAAAACTCCAGATGTTGAATATATATGCATTGTTTTTATCAGAAATGGAAAAGTTTTATTTTTCGAGGAAAAAGAAAAATATTCTTCACAATATTTTCCATAACGATCTTCATGTTGAAGTTTTATTGGTTTTTTTTTTAATTTCCGTGACAAAAAAAGGTAGTTAATCATTATGCAATAGTCATAAAAGCAAAATATTCTAATATATATAAAAAAAATTTATTTTTCTTCAATTAAAAATTATTGATTTTATGTAAATTAAAATGTAATTTATAGTTTATTTATTTTATTAAATACAATATTATCATATAATGTATTTTTTGTTAATTTATAATAATATGATACTTGGGAAAACAATAATATAAAGTCTGGATTTATCATTATTAATTTTAATTATTCGTAATATAATTGTTATTTTATAATTTTTAATTATTTTATAATAATAATAATTGTAATAATTTTATAATTATTAATATAGAGCAATTACTACTATTCGTACACTGAAAAGAAAATTATTTGGTTCAATTAATTCTTATTTGAAAAATATTTACTTCAATCAAATATTTTTTATTTCACTGAGAAAAAATGTTTAGTCAGAGCAACCAAAATTTGGTTAGGCCAAGAAAAAAATTTTGTTGGTATTTAAGCAACCAAAGTATTTGTTTGCGTCAACCAAAAAATTTGGTTGAGTTTTTTTTGTTGGCATAACAAAAATGTTTGGTTAGCTCAACCAAATGTTTTTTGTTAGGTCAACAAAAATGTTTGGTTGATCAAACAAACAGTTGTGAGAGATTTTAACTAATAATTGTTCTCTTAAGCTATGAGCTTAGAGCGAATTAAATTATTTGGTTGTCGCAACCAAATTTTGATAGGACAACAAACGATAATTTGGTTTTCTAGACCAAACTACTTTGTTGTGTTAACCAAATTATTTTGTTGTCGTAACCAAATTTTGGTTGGGATTTAAAAATGTTCAACCAAATAATTTTGTTGGCCTAACCAAATGTTTGGTTGAGATAACTCTCTACGAATTTGTTTCAGCCAACCAAAATTTGGTTACAAGAACCAAAATTGCCTAACCAAACAATTTTGTTGAAAACACTAAATTTTTTTTCTCAGTGTTGCATCTAAAAAAAAAATTTTGATTCTTTATAATAATAGTTATTTATGTATATAATTATATATATTCAATAGATAATAGAAAAGTAAATCTTTTATTTGCATCAATTGATTTTTATTTGATACAAATAATTTTTTTTCCTACGAATATTGCAAACTGCAACTAGAAAATTTTCTATAAATTTTTTTTTTTTTTTTTTTTTTTAACAAAAGTTTAATAAATTTTTTTGCAGTTTTAGGTTGTCCCGAAGTATCAGCACCAAACGGAAGCTTTGTATCGAATGGAACCCTTGAAACTAGAACTTTCCAATGTCGAATGGGTACAATATTTCCGGACTCAAAACAAAGGACAAAAACGATCGTTTGCAAAAATGGTCGATGGGACAAAAGCGTTCAAACTCTGACAGGTTGCATTGGTGAGTCTGTCATTTCTTTTATACAGTTTTTTTTTCTTTTGTTTTAATTTAATTTAATGTACCATCACAAATTTATCATTCCTTCTTATGTCGCATATCTTTCCAGAATATTTGGTTTTATAAGCTTTGTTTTGCATTTTTTTTTACTATAATATTTGCTTTTATTGTAAATCTTTTTCTTATGTGAATTTTTTTTTTTTACTATTTTTTCACATTTATAAAAGAAAAATTGTAGGATTCTCTTTTAGGATTTAATTATTTTTTTATTATACAACTTTAACATGGTATATTGCGAAAATTAACTTTTAAAAAAATATGTTTTTGTGTATGAAAAATAAAAAAACACGCATTTTTTTAATTTTCGTAACATTTTTTTTTGTAGTTTTTACGAATTTTTAGATTTTTATCAAAAAAATGAAGAAAAAAATTTTATCAAAATTAAAAAAAAAAATACGTGTTTCTTTATTTTTTAATCAGAAAAACAATTTTTTTAACTTGAAAGTGAAAAAGAAAATTTTTGTTACATTAAAAAAAATGTATATATATATATTTTCTTGGCAACTAATCAAGATTTTAAATTCGAAAATAACTGCGATTTTGCTTATACTGAGTGTTCAAAAAGTATGGAAACGATCATATTTTTCGAAAAGTATGCATTTTCGAAAAAAAAGATGATCAAAACAAAAGTTGTTTGATGATAATTATATTACATAAAAATCATTAATTAAAAATTCCATTTTAAAGAATTTTATTAAAAATAAATTTTTTTTTTAGACGAATTTTCAGTTTTTAAATTAGCATTCGACAGAATTTCTTTTTTTATGTATATATGAATTTTTACATTTTTAGCTACAGAATTTTTTTTTAGCAGAATTTTAATTTAATCGAATTTTAATTGAACTGAATTTTTGCTCAATCGAATTTTAAATTACATCAGAAATTCCAATTAACCGAATTTTAATTTGTCCGAATTTTTAATTGATAGAATTTTTTAAGGTGCCGAATTTTCATTTGTCCAAAATTACAAATAACCGAACAAACAATCGATAGAAAGATTTTGGCGCAATTTTTTGAAACTGACCAATCACGATTTTTTTTTTTTTGATAATTTCTAATTGGTTAATTTTAAAATTCCGCCGAAAATCTTTCTGTCGATTGTTTGTTCAGCTATTTGTGATTTTGAACTAATGAAAATTCGGCATCTTAAAAATTCGTACAAATAAAAATTCGGCCAAATTAAAAATCGGTAAGTTGAAATTTCTGTCATTTAAAAATTTGAATCACATAAACTTCGATTGAATTAGAATTCTGTTAAATTAAAATTCGCCTAAATTAAAATTTTTTAAAATAAAAAATCATATATAAAGAAAATGACTGTAAAATAAAAATTCTACCAAACAAAAATTCGATAGCTAAAAATTTTGTTACTTTAAAATTCGTATAAAAAGAAAATCTTTCAAATTTTAATTCGAAAAATTAAATTAATATATTAATAATTATACAGGGTGATTTTTATGTTCCGTACCCTGTAAAAAAAATTTTTTATTCTCATTTTGTTTCGTTATTTAAACAAAAATAATGTAATTAAAAAAAAAAAATTTTTTTAGGGGGTTCGGAACATAAAAATTTGAAATTTGCTTGAAATTTTTCTACAATTAAATAAATTCGCAAAAAAAAAGGTTTTAGAGGTCACAGAGATTACGATTTCAAAATTAATTTTCAAAATATTTATTTGTGCCAGACAGAAAATTTTATTTGAAACAAATATGTACAAATATTTATTTAGTTCTCTGTGAGAAAATAGTTTTTTTTTTTACTCAATTCAAATAAATTATATTTGGTTCGAATAAAAAATCTCTCTGCAGTTTATAAAAATGGTTAAGATACATATTTATTATAAAAATAGAAAAATTTTTAAATACTAAAATAAAAATTTATAAAAGAAAAAATGTGACAAATTATAAAAAAAAAAAAACAGAAATTCTCAAGTTAGTATCTTTTTTTTTCGCAAAATAAAATAAATTTGCGAGAAGAATGAAAAAAAAACAGCGTCAAAATTAAGGGATCTGAAGAAGGTAAATACAAACCTGATCAAATCCTGTTTGGCGGGGAACTTTTTTGTTTACGGGGGATAAGAGGAGAAAGAAAGTCCTGTTGGTGGGAGGAAGAAGGTTGGATCGCACGCGTGTTCGCAAAACAGGGGGAGATATAGCACACAGACGACGCCGAACGTCCCGACGCCACGTGTATTTAAAAAGTGTTTGAAAAAAAATATCATCAATTTTCAATAAAGATTTTCATCTAATTAATAAATCAATCAGGTCAGTGTCATTAAATGTATAATAAACATTGTTAAAAATAATATTATATTCTTTAATTTTCATCAAGAAACTGCTTGAGTTTCATTCAATTATAAAGTGCTGTCTATATTGTATATATCTTTTTTTTACATTGGTCTCACGCAATGTACAGTGTAAAAAAAATGTTTCCAATCAATCACTTGTTCATTATTTATCGGGGAAAATTTTTTTTTTTTAATTATTTTATAAAATTATATTATTTTTTAAATTAAATTCTTCTTATAAAATTAAATTATTTTATAAAATTAAGTTATTTTATAAACTAAAAATGTTTTATTAAATAATTTGATATTTGATAATTTATTAATCAATTTCACTAGGTTTTTTTTTTAATACTGAAAATGTTTAATTAATTTTATTGAAGATATTTAACTGAATTTCGCTGAAAATTAAATAATTGAAAAAAAAAAATTGCAAAACGTTTTAAAAAGTTTATATTCATAATTTGCTCCATTTTCTAAAAATGAAAAAAAAATTATAGGAAATAATTATTATTTAATTGAAATATTAATTTAAAAAAAAATTATTATGATATTTTTAAAAGTGATTTTTTCGAGTTTTTTTTTTTTTAATTAAAGGTCGACGATCTTTTTTTTCGTTTTAGCTAAAAATATATATTTTAGAAGTAAAATTAATGGGGATAATGACTGTTGCTTTTTTTAACACTTATTGTATGAGGGGAAAGAATAACATATGAGGCCTTAAATGAATTACTTCACATTTGCCCTTATGATATATCAATTCGTTTAAGACCGAATTTCAAGTGACAATCTATTATTAAACACACGTTGTCGCAACACTCTTCTTTGCGTCACTTTATTATTTTATCTTTTTTCTCCAGATTTTTTTAAAAATATTTACAAACAAATTTACAATTTTGTAATATTTTTTTTATTAATTAAAATTCTTTTTTTTTTACCTGAAAATAATTTTATTTTACAAAATTTTATTAATATATTATTTTTATAAATCTATAATATAATCTTCATTTAATTTTCTTTTATGCGTGATTTTTGTTTTAAAATATTTTTTTGTCAGTTTATTAATAAGATAACTCGAGTATTTTTATTGTTTAGACTGATGACGTCATTATATGTCTCATATGCTCTTTAAGAGCAGTTGAAAATTAATTTTAATTATATTTGTGTTATACGTATTTGAAGTATATAATTTATATTTGTAATCATGAAAAAAAATGTTTTTGTTATTCAATATTTATCGAATTTAAAAATTCAAAAAATTTTTAATTGATTTGAAAATAAATGAAAAATAAATTTAAAAAAATTCAATATATTGTCTCAATGCTTATATCTAAAGCAGTGAAAAATGTATTTTATAAATGAATATTTTTTGTATCAAAAAATGTGAATAAGAGTAAAAATTCAAATCTAGTAAAGAAAATTTGTTTTTAAAAACTCTAGTTGAAAACGAAACTCAATAATATCCATTAAAATATTAAAAATAAATAATAAACTAAATGAATAATAAACTAATTTAAGAAGAAAAGATTAATAATAGCATCATTATTCTTATCAGTTTTTATTTAACGAGGTTTTTATCTTTTTTTTTATTTCATACTAATTAAAATTGTCAGTCATGTTTGAAATATGTCAAATATGAAACTTTTTATTTTAAATATATATATATATATATATATATATATATATTATACTATTAATTGATCATCACGCCAATCTATCATTAAACTTAACTAATTAAAATTAATTAATTTTTAATTTATAAAAAATCGATTAAAAAACAATTATTTCATTTTAGACTTAATAAAAAAAAAATTAACAACTTTTACATATAAAAAAATATAATTATTATTATTATTATTACAGGCCTCGGATTATACGACTTTTTTCGATTTATATTTTATAATAAAATGCGACTTTTTCAACTTTCTTTTTTCAAAATTTTTAAACAAAATACGTTTTTTTTTTAGTATACAATGCACATCTTTTTCAGATCTTCTTTATTTCAATTTTTTAATTCAAATTATTCACTAAATTAATTATTTTGAATAATTTTAATGAAATTCTTTACAAATTCAATTATCTTCAACTATTTTTCAATTAAAATATTTATGAAATTTAATAATTGTTTATAATTTTAAAAAAATTAGCAAATAAAATTACTAAAAAAATTTAATTCAAAATCAATTGAAAATTAATTATTTGCTGAAATTTTTATTTTTTTTTTGTTAATGATTTTTATAATGTTCTTTCAAAATTCAATTATCTGAAAGCATTTTTCAGTTAAAAACTTTTAAAATTCAATTTTTTTATGTGATTTCTAATAAATTCTTCGTCAATAGAAATAAGTAAAAATTTCTTTTATTATAATTATTGTCTAAAATTTAACTATCAATCATTTAAAATTTAATTATTTTGAAAAATTTCAATTTAAAAGCTTCTAAAATTTAATTATTTTTAAAATTTTCCATCTAAAATTTTTTTCAATTATAACTCTCCTGAAATTCAATTATTTTTAATAATTTTTATAATATTCATCGAAAATTCAACTATCTGAAACCATTTTTCAAATTATTGTATTTTTGTCTGCAATTTCTAATAAATTTTTTATTAACAGAAATCATCAAAAATTGAAAATTAAAAATCACTTGAAGTTGAATTA